GGGCCGGGGGCGGGCACAGGTGTGGGGCGGTGGGTCCATTAATGTGGGGCAACCCTCCCTCCTGCCACATCAGGAGCAGTGCATCATGCATGCCCCGCCCGTCGCGCGCCGCATCACCGTGTGTGTAGGTCGCGTGACGGGGGCGTGACGGGGGCGTGACGGGAGCGTGGCGATCGTCACCTCACCCTTCCGTTTCGGAGGCGGCCTCTGTCGTGATTAACGCTCTTTATTCCCCAGCCGTTGCGTCCGCGCGCCGCCCGAGCGCCCACCCGTGCTGAGCGTGTCTCTGTTGTGTAGGTCAGCGGCTACCTGCGCAAGCAGCTGGTGGAGGCCGAAAAGGGCGAGGCCGCGGAGGAGGTCAAGCAGATGCTGCAGGACCACGACAAGCTGGTGGAGGAGATCTTCCAGCACGAGGACAAGGACAAGAACGGCTACATCTCGCACAACGAGTTCTCGGGCACCAAGCACGACGAGCTGTGAGCCGCGAGGGCTTGACAGACCAAGGTTCGACAGGTCCAGTGGGGGTGTGGTGTTGCCCGACTTGAATGTCCTGTCGCCGGCCGAGCCGCGCCGCGCGCTCGCGGAGGCTGCGGTCCAAGGTCTCGATGGTGGCGGTGTCAAGTTCCAAGCTGTTTTTGCGGTGGAGGAGACCGACGACGAAGCACTAAGACGGACGGTCGTCGCCCGACCCAGGCGTCGAGCCCCGCCCCGCGACCCGACAGACAGTATGACAGCGCAGATGAACCGCTTTGCCAGCGCATTATTTCTTTCTCATATCAGCCGCCACCTTACCTCGCTCGTAGCGTTTTTACCATTTATTTGCGTTTCTTTTTATTTTCCTGTTTGGTTGGAGTGACATCTTCGTTTTCTTTTCTGTTTGTTTGGCCTTTATTTCTCGTTGGTTTTGTACCCTCCCCCGCCGGGGTGACTCGCGTGCCCACGCTGTCACTCGGCATATTAAATCCACCCCTCCCTCCCCCTCCCCTCGGGCGCGGCGCCTCCTAACAGTGGCGCCGTGGCGCCTCCGCCCCATGGACAGGCACGCAACTAACAGCCCATGGGATTCATGATTCATCATCGGTTTCCATCTTGTCTAATCTGAAATGCTTAGTCTGTCATGTGATCACCACGGTGCGGGAGTGTTGTGTGTGAATGTGTGTGTGCGAGTTCGAGTGTTCATGCTCACTGATTGGTTCGATCATCAAAATCATAAAAACCCATATTCCCTTCCCGTTCACCCCTTTCTTGTTTGGTTTTTACTGTTGTTTTTTGCCTTTTCTTTTTCTTTTTTGTAGAAAATTTACATGTTTTTTGTTTGTTTGTTTTGCATTGCTTTATTGACGCTTGTTTTGTTGCGGGGTTAGGTGAGCGGCTATCTCAAGAAGCAGATGGTAGCTGCTGAGGGTAGCGAGGGCGCCGAGGACGTCAAGAAGATGCTGGAGGAGCATGACAAGCTGGTGGACGAGATCTTCCAGCACGAGGACAAGGACAAGAACGGCTTCATCTCCCACGAAGAATTCTCCGGACCCAAGCACGACGAGCTGTAATAGCGTGGTGTACCTTAATTTATTGTCCATCCGTGAGGAGGCGCCCGTCTCTGCAATATTTTGAAATTCATGTAAGTCAAAAACTCCGCCAAGTCTTACGATGGAAGTCTCCCTCACTGTGGTATTTATGTACCTCGAAAAGTATTTTGCCTGAGGACTGTTTTGTGTGTCTGAGTGTGCATGTGCGTGTGAGTGCTTACGAGCGAAAATTTTGACTGTCCTTTTGTTTCCTTTTGTACGAAACTAGATTAATTTTTTATACTGTCTCGTGCCCTTACGAGCAGGAGGTTCCTGCTTAGAGTTGCGTAGGCAAACGACCGCTTAATGCAACTGGGCCGTTTTTGTACATGTGTAAATTAATGACTTTTGTATCAGCCTGTGCACGATTATTGTGATTTGATTAGAAACTGCTTCAATTATTAACAATGGAGTTATTTCTGCCGTCTCCTGATTGTCTCTCTTGTCATCTTTGCCCTTCTCGGGAAACGTCTTTGTTACAATTGTTATGTTTTGTTGAGTAAGTTATAGATCTAAGGATACAACCTTACTGTTGTGATTATGCGCTGTTGAGAATTGGATGTACTTACTACTTGTGTATGTTTACATTTCTTTGCTCAAATCAGAAGTAAACGATTTTTTTTTTTTGAAAAAAAAAAGAGAAAGAAAGCAACGACGCGTGACTTAAGACTGTTTCTGTGCATTAGCAGCAGATAGTAATAAATGCAACAGTATGATTGTACCACGTTGTTAAAGCTGGAGTTGTTTCAATAAAAAACAAACACAACTACTTGACTTCGCGTTCCTCTATGCCCCACTCCCGATGGCCCGACGACGAGAGCGGAAACAAACCGCCCACCGACTCCACCACTCGGTTACGAAGTCGCATCTGGGATGGACGGAGAGGCTTGCGGAAGCAAAAGGCGGCAAAAGAGGAAAAGAGGAAAGGGGGGGGGGGGATGGTGCGCTAACGGCGCAGCTGCGGCCGGCCCGGCTGGCTATCTGCATCCAGATCGGCGGCAGTTCCAGAGAGCGAGAGCGACATAGCCGGATAGCGAGTCAAATATTGATAAAACAAAAGGCTTTAGGGAAGGGATGGGAGAGGGGGGGGGGGACTGCAACGCGGCGCAGCGGCGGCAAGTAGACGTCGCCTTGGCCTTTACGTCCGTGTTGTTTTAATATTTAGAGGTGCCGTCAGCGGCGCGCCAACTAGAGTGGTGGGACCAGGGCGGGGGAGCAGGGGGCGGCCACCACATTTACACCCTGCCATGCGGCACATTGCGGCGAAACAGGCAGCAGGGGAAAATAATGCCGACAAAGATGGGCGCAACGGGATGTCCCAGCCGCGCGGGACAGAGAAATAACTGCAGATGCATTGGGAATGCGTTTCATCGCTCGAAAACTGAAGTTCGCGTAGCTTATATTTCAGTGACGTACTTGCTCGTGTGAGTATTCGGGGGCGCCTTCTTTGAAGGCGCTAGCTGGGGTAGTGTGCGAAGCGAAAACCCATGTTCTTTTTGCGCGTCGGCTGTTGTGCCCAGCAAGGGTCCGGACGAGCAGGGAGGGGGCGCGCGCGGCGGGGGAGTGCCACGCCACGCCCCCCAGCTCCACGACGGTGGTGACGTGCCACGGCACCGCCGCGCACGACGCACGCCATCGCAATACGGCTCCTTCCGGAAGTCGGCAGCGCGGCGCTGCGCGGCGTGGAGGCGGACGCAGTGCGTGCTCCCGAAGGAAAGTGCGCGATGGGTTGCCTACCTCGACGGCGGCGGGGAGAGTGTCGTCGAACGTGTGGGCCCCTACACATCCGGTGAGGCCAGAGGGGAAACAGATAAATAACAAGAGGTCCACTATTTTTAGCTTTTGCTTTTCTCTCATATTTATTTGTGCCCTTAAAATTAATGATAGGATCTGAATACAAATCTGAATCAAGCTCAATACTTTCAAAAAAAAGCGTAAAAATACACAGTATTTATTTGTAAAAAAAAAAAGAGACTAGCAACACTTTAGCATAAATTTACAGTTCTCATTATCACATTTTGCAAGGCATGCAAGAGGGGAGAGGAACTATGTGCAAGAGAGGACTAAAAACTATTAACGAATGGGGCTGCACTGATTTAAAGGAAAACATAATGTTGAAAGATACAGTACCACAAGCTCCCCGGAAAAATAAAAACATGTAGTGGGTGCGAATTGAAACAAATATCGCACACGCTAACAATAAGAACAATTCTCGGTGGGTACATGGGCGAGTATAACTTTGTACTCGTATCTTAACGCTCAGTCAACTCACTTTAAACTTTAAGAACGGGGGTATAAAACAAGATATCTTTGGCGTCGATCCGAGGGCGCTTCAACGTCACGCTGATGCCGAACCGACGTCGAATCGACGCCCATTTCGTGTGACGGCGAGGACGGTGCGTGGGACTGCCTGAGGCCCCTGTGGCCCCCAAAAGGGGCACCACTATCACAGTAGGGCTGCACCGAGCCCAGTCGAATATACCCTTTCCAAAGGATCAATCCAAACAAGTTTGAATTCCTCGATTCGGAAAGGAGTATTCACGGCCGGGCCGGCGCATTCCTTGTTGCACTCGTCCGACCCGTGACGATGTGCGACCCGACAGATCCTTCTCCCCGACATGGCATGCCGAATGCTCGCGTCAGCGACGCGTTCACAATAATTAATTTATTAACATTACAAGGAGGGGTAAAACAACAACAATAAAAACAAAATAGTTACAGGCTGGTGGGTCAGTAGCCCTTGATGTATGCGGCGAGGTGTTTTCGGTCCTCGTCGGACAGTCCGTTTTTGAGTGTGCGGCGTACTGCAACAGAGGGGACGCCGCCGGTCACGAGGATGCACGTCATTGCAGGAACACGGAAAGGTCACGGTGTGTCAAATTGATATGTCAAAATGTCTGCTAAAACATGCCATTTTGACATTTTGACTACATCAGAGAGTTCCATTCGTGACGATTCTGCGTTTGTTGGGTAAATCACACGGCAGCGAGATCCTAGTGGCAAGCTGTCCAATCCCTCGCCAGATGAAGAGGTGGTAGGGGAAAACATTCAAGTGGTGCTTCAATTGGAAGCAGAGCGTGGGTGTGGGTAACCACCAGTTCGAAAAGCTCTGTCGGTGGTCAGAAGGGGTGTGACACGCAATGCACAAAAAGGATGAGTCATTAGTAAAGCGGCCACGGCCATGCGAGTTTAAAAGTTTAATGGATAAAATGTTTTAGAATCTGTTAGATATTTAAATGTTAGACTTCCTATGTCAAACAGTTCGTTAGCGACACACGTTCCACACCACTTTACCAGGTTCACGGGGACTCGCTAACGTTGCCCGCAATGGAAGCGTTCTCCCGTGTGCGCGATCGCTTCACTGACAGAGGAAGAAGTGCATATGAGTTTGAGGGAGAGTTCCGAGGAGAGTGAGAGTACCCCAGGTTGCCCTTCGCCAGCCGGGCGGCCAACGTCGCAGGGTAG